AAAAAAAAAAAAAAAAAAAAAAAAAAAAAAAAAAAAACACACCAACAATCTGAAATACTGGATGATCCGCCCATCAAATTAAAGCAGCTTCGAATAATCTGAAACACCAATCCAAAAAAAATAAATAAAAAAAATCTCCGACAATCTGAGATATTGGATAAAGAACCTTGGACCGTAACACGATGGACAGGAGGCAGGGAAGAGCTGGCACAACTAGCTCCCTGATCTTCTTCCAAGGTGGGATGAGACATACCCTGGGAAGACGCGCCCCCTACTCCCCATACGAACGGCCAATCAATCGGATACTCCCCACGACCAACGACCTGGTCCCCCGCGGTAACCATGGGACAGGCTTGGGGAGGCTAACAACTGCAAAGCCTTCGGGGATGGGGACAGAAGGGGGAACTTCCACCACGAAGGACGAGGCAGAAGGATCTGGGGAGCTAAAGGGGGAGGACAACCGTGGCAACCAGAATGGGGGGAGAGTCGGGGCGGGTTCGGAGATGCCACCTCAGCAGACCTCCACCGCGCAGGACGAGGCAGAAGGATCTGGGGGAGGGGGGGGGGAGGACACGGAAATGAGGGAGAACGAAGGGGATGAGATCCTGACTGAGGAAGAGAAAAAAGAGATGGCAGGCAAACAAGGGGTAAATCCGGAAGGGGAGAAGGAAACGTCAGTTAAGGGAGAGGAGAAACCCTCATGGGCACAGAGAGTTAGGAATACAATGCAGGAGAAGACCCTGACCATAAGACGATCCACAGCGGACCCACACCCAGGGGGGACAGAGGACTTGAGGGTACCATTAAAGACCCTCTCCACAGCAAGAGCATACTTCCGGACCCTCTTCCTCCTTCCCTCAAAAAGCCAGGTGGTGGACCAAGGAGGGCGGAAAACGATGATGAAAACATACCCAATGGAGAAATTGGAGGAGAGAGACAAGGTGTACATAAAGCACACGAGCAATTGGGTATTCCAGTGTGAAGTAGCACAGAAATCAGTGAATGACAAAATAAAGTGGATATGCAAGAGACTGGAGGAAATGAAAGGAAGTCAAGACGCAGTCCGAGAATTTTTCCTCATACAACCCCTGTCATCGACCGTCTTCACGATCTTGAGTTTGTTCACACAGGACAAACAACGGATGGATGGGTGGAGAAGGCTCAGATGGGAGAGGTCTGAGGTTCGTATATATCCATGGCAGCCCAAAAAACTCACCCCGGAAGAAAAAAGAGAACAAATGATGAAAGATTACTTCTGGGTTGAGTTGCAGCACATCCCGGTGGAAGTACAGACCACCTTTATACATGACCTGGGGCAACAATATACAATTGTCGATTTCATTGACCCATTGCCTTCGTATGTGGCTAAATGGGACGACTATGTGATGCTTGCCCTAGATCTATCGAAGGACCAACCCTTCTCCATCGATGACATCATCCCGTTCAAGATGGGGGGGAAAGTTCACCAAATTCACACCGCGCACAAGTTCCACCCCTGGTGCTTTAAATGTAGAGCGTATGGGCACTTGTGCACAGAGTCTGCATGCCCACTGCAACCAAACAATAGTCGCCCAACAGCAGGGAGGCTGCAAGGAGACCTGCACAGACCAAACATATGGCACACTGTTGACCCGGGGCACGAACACACACGGAGTGCGGTGTAAGTTGGTATAAATAGGTGCGTGCCGAAGGCGTAGGGCATCAGAGGAGTTAGACAATCACTGGCTCGCACCGTCGCATTCGCATTTTTTTCATCGGACACTTCACTCCTTGTGTGTCAAAGCCGCATAGGAGTTCTTCTATTCTCCGCAGGTGAGGGGGCGAACCACCTTCCCATCAAATGTGTCTCCATACACACACAGAGAGAGAGAGAGAGAGAGAGAGAGAGAGAGAGAGAGAGAGAGAGAGAGAGAGAGAGAGAGAGAGAGAACACACGTCCAGATGGTGATGCGGTGGATAGGGCTTCTCCTGTCGTCGTCCTCCTCCTCCTCCTTTGCTCCTCCTCTCCTTGTAGTATACAGTGCCATACACACGTTTGTGTCCCTTGCGTCTTCTCTGTCCAGCCTCCAGGTGTTGCGTTTTTAGATAGTGTCCTCCTCCGGTTCCTGACCACCATTTCTTTTCTTCAACCCCTTCCCACAGCTCTCCTGCTCGCTCCTCCTCCTACTCCTCACCCGCCTACGGCCTTCAGACTCTCTCTCTCTCTCTCTCTCTCTCTCTCTCTGTGTGTATATATAAATATATATGTTCTCTTCCGATACTCCTCTGTGTGTGTGTTGTGTACTCGGTAAACACAAGTCCAGAAGAAAGTAGTGACTGTAACAGACAGTCTCCTTCGTCTTTCACCGGCATTTGTGTATGTGTGTCTATGCCCTGGTTTTCCGGGGGCGGGTGTGTGCGTAGGCATGACGCTGATGATGCTGTAGCAAATGYGATTACGAGAATGACGATGTATWTTTTTCTGAGTGTGTGTGAATGTGTGCTTGAAACTGCTTATATTAATGTGGGTAATCATAACTCCTTATTACGTCTGACTTTTATTTGACGTCCACCAACTCATCAGGAGATTATACCCCTGTTGTCTGGCCGGGATGCTTTTGAGTGATGGATAAGGACTCACCTTTTTGCCCCATGTTGCGTTACTCACACCACCCCTGTCCATGTGTTGTGTTTGTTCGTGTATGCTTCTCTCTCTCTCTCTCTCTCTCTCTCTCTCTCTCTCTCTCTCTCTCTCTCTCTCTCTCTCTCTCTCTCTGTGTCCCTCCCTCGCTCGCTCGTGTGTTAGTGTGGGCGTTTGTGTGTGTGTGTTTCTCGTGTGGTAGGAGCAGGTTCTTCCCACGTTCCTCGCTTCAAGTCAAGTTGTTGCTCCCATCATGAAGTCTAACGTGACAGTGGTTGCGGCCTTATGCCTGCTGGTGCTGGTGGCTTTCCCGGCCATTGTGTCGGGGTGGTGCCTGGAGAATACGGACCACGACCCGAACACKAGGAGGAAGATCGACTGCCGCAGGAATCCCGACGTTGCAGGGTCCCAACGGGCCTGTCAGAATCTGTGCTATGCGCAATCCTGGTGCCAAGGCACGGTGTGGATCGGAAGCCCAGCCCATTGGGTCAAGCGCAAGTACTGCTGCTTCCTCAAGGACAGGTACAATCCAAGCGCTCTCAAGASCCAAAAKCACCGCAGGTACTGCAGGAGAGGCTACTGACTGATGGGATTTAGCGGACCTGTCTGAGCCAATCGTGCTGGTGGCTCACGGTGGCCAAAACCATGATTCGTGACGCTCCCGGAGGGGACAGCGTGATGAAGGCAAGTAATTAACGGTGGTTAACGTTAGCAGCAACGGCTGTCGCCGTTTGTTAACCGCGGATGGCCGTTAACAGCCGAGGCAAACACGAGGTGGCAGCACTCATAACGGGCCGTAACGGTGGACACACTGTAAGCTTGTTTACTGCGTGTGTGTGTATGTGTGTCATCCGTTAGGACGGATGTCAATCCGTGTCGTAACGGAAGGTAACGGAACGGAAGGGCTAGGTGCAAAGACTGTCGGCCGATTGCCGCCGACAGAAAGACTTGTGAGCCTGAGTGYTGGCGATGCATATTCAGTATTTTTTCCTTTTTTTGAAGAAAAAGAAACGGATATTAAGGGTAAGCGTCGGGATACCGACGAAAAAATAGACGGGTTAAGTCGGGGGACAAATCGTTGGCACATGGGTATCATCATCACACCCTCATCATCCTAGTACACACACAGAAAGGGAGAGGCTGTGGAGGTGGACACATCAACGATTATCAGGACTGAGAGTCCGTTCATATATTCTAGCCAAGGCAAACAGGAGGCAGAAGAAAGAAGTCATGCTGTACATATATGAACTCGTGACGGACTGCACAGCATACACTCTCCTCTCTCTCTCTCTCTCTCTCTCTCTCTCTCTCTCTCTCTCTCTCTCTCTCTCTCTCTCTCTCTCTCTCTGTGCGATCCAACGCCACACTGATAGTCTCGAGTGATTGCGAGCTTAGAGCGGTCTTCTTGACGGGATCCCGACCTTCCCGAGCCATCTGTAACTTGCATGGAATTGGAAAAAAGGTGCAATGATGGCCACCATGTCCCRACTGGTCCCGACTGGACTGATAATGTCAGAGAACACTCAGAATAGACCTGTCATCAGTGTCAYGTCGTGGTTATGAATGATTCAATCATWTGATTGGATGACTTTTTTTTTAATGGTAATATGAAGTTAAGGATCGACAGACCAGTTCGGATTTATCTCCTGYAACCCAACCGTTGTGTTCTTCTCGGACACGTGTCACCACACTGATCATGTCTCTTTTTCTTTCTTTCTTCCCCCTTTACGGGTTTTTTSTTTGCCCCCCCCCCTCTTTCTTTCTGGTGTGTGTCGCCGTCGTACACGTGTCGTCATCACTGCCATCATTCCCTTCCAGGAAAACTTCTTTTTTGTTTTTTTCCCCCTT